TGCAGCGCAGCCCAAGCGCAGTCGCTGCTTACTGCGCAGTTAGCAGAGCGCAGACTTATGTGTGCGTGTGGATGCATGTGTATGTATGTGTGCATAAAAGRRGTGCAGAATAATTAGAATATCAGCTTAGAGGGTTCAGGGTATCTCCTAGTCGAGCAGTCTCGACTGGAGCCTTCTTACTTGTTTATTTTCTAATTATAATTTTAAGTAATTAAGTTTGCAACATGACGACATGTGAGTCTCGGTTGATGTCACGATTAAAGAAATAGCACCATCGGCAAGCCCTTTTCTCTTTTCTCAACTGGGTCACGAGTTTTATAAACATTATACATATTTATGTATATATACGATTTATGATAAGCGACAATGCTCACATTGTTTATTTGCCTTATTCATGTATTTTCTCTGTGATTTTCAAGTTCGACCTGTTATTGGACAATCTGTGTACATATATATTGTAGTATATATAAATGCGACGTGTTTTGATTTTCAACTAGCTCTTAATATGTATTCCAAGTGTTGTACCTCAAGCACACGTCATCTTCCTCAACAATTGTTAACTACAATGGATAGAAAAGAAGCAGCACAAAAAGAACTCACAAATTCATGTTTAACAACTCATTAACAAATCGTACTTCAAAACGCGTTAACTCATAAAAAATATTTACTTCAATATATATGCATTTTAAAATAGACAAGAGTACAGCGTTTTAATGTCATTTTAAATGTGATAAATATAAACAATAATTGGTAAATATTTCTTCCTCCTATCTGTGTACATAAAATTACACATAGAATATATAATGGTTACAAAAAGCGTAGTTCTTGAAATAAGAATTTAAATGCAATTACATATTCTCAAATGAGGGGACAAATATATATGTATATATTATTCAAATATATCTTTAGGTCCTCGAGATACTAATCCTTTGAAGTTTCTAATTTTATTGTACTTTTTGGATTGCTTATTTTGCTTTTCTTTTTCGGAAAAGACTTGAGTTACATACACATATGTATATATAGATATGTGTATATACATACAAGTCACTATTACGCATTTGAAGGCTTTAACCCAAGATAAGCTCAGCTCACAGCAGTTGATAACCCTAATCAGTAAAACATATAATATGTATATACACAAGTACAATTGATCAATGATTCGATTTTGCGAGCCACAGGTTATCAATTGGTGTTTCATGCTTTTAAGTCATTCATATGAAGTATATCATGTACATACAATATTAAATTATATAGTTTCTAATTTTGTATATTTATCTAGATTTCACACAATTTTAAGCAGAGCAGCTGATCTATTCACTCTATCAAGACAACCAAACACATACATATACACTAAGTAAATAAATCACTTACGCTTCTCTGTCAACGAGATGAACTGAAAGCTTACAGGCTTTGGAAGCAACTAAACAAAATCGCGGCACTCGTATGTAGTGATCGAAGCAACGCAGCTTTAGACACTGAACGAAACTGAACAATTGTCGTTGACTTTATAAAAGGCCGCTAGAAAGCAAAGCGAAATCAAGCACAGTCGCCCTCTCCGGTTTGATAAGACAGACGATCAGATAGTGGGAGCTTGGCTCAGATTAAGTACAATTCGCAAAACATAACTGTAAACAATTGAAAATCACAATTTAAGCTTTCTTAGAAACCGGGTTAGAGATCACAGAGAATACCCAGCTTTTAATTCTGCGAACCTAAGTCCAACTAAGCTTTATTACACTGTTTAACAGGTGACAGATTATCATATGCAAAGAGCAGTGCATTTACTTCTAAAATTTTACCCAATTTGTAAAATACCCTAACTGTTTTGAAAGCTTAACTAATTTGTTGATATAAAATTATTATTATACCCTGAACCCATTAAAAATGGGAAATCAGAGTATAATGGTTTTGTGAAAAGTATTTTTTTTTGACTCAAATTGTTTTTCATTTAGATGAATAAACATTAAGCTCATGGATTTTTCTTATTTTGTAAAATAGTGTAAATATTGTATTTTCTAAAAATAATTCTGTAGAATTGTTGTCTTATTATTTAGATGCTATTTTTTACATTTTAGTAATCGGCAGCCGTATTAGACAAATAGTCGCGCCTGCCAATATTCGAGGCCTGTTTGCTTTGCACCGCCTCCAATTTAGGGCATTCGGTTATACGATGGCCAAGACCACCGCAGTAGCTGCAGCCATGCGAGTCGCCCAGATCCAAATGCTGATGCTCCGCCTCAGGCGCCAGTTCGTCAAGAAAGTCGGGTACCTCCTGCTTGGCTTCCAGGAGAAGGTGCTTCAAATCCAGTAGTACAGATTGCTCGGTTATCTTGTTGATCAGTGTAGTCGCCAATCCCTTGGTATTAGAGCGACCTGTGCGACCAATGCGATGCACATAGTTTTCAATATCGTCGGGCATATCGTAATTGATCACATGCTGAACATTGGGAAAATCTAGACCTTTGGAGGCCACGTCTGTGGCAACAAGAACATCTTTTTTGCCCACACGATATGCGTCGACAGCACGTGAACGCTCCTCCTGATCCTTGCCGCCGTGTATGGCCACAGCCTCGACGCCCTTGAGCAGTAGATATTCGTGTATAGTGTCTACGTCTTGTTTCTTCTCGGCAAAGATAAGTACTGGAGGAGCCGTCTTTTGCAGGCACTCCAACAGGTAGACCACTTTGGCTTCCTGCTTCACATACTCTACTTGCTGGGTGACATTCATGGAGGCGGCACCAGCACGTCCTACATTGATTGTCACTGGTTTGACGAGCGCAGAGCGTGCAAAGTTCTGAATCTTCTTGGGCATTGTGGCAGAAAAGAGCAGCGTCTGCCGCTGACCCTTAAAGAACGAGAATATAGTACGCACATCCTCCTCGAAGCCCATGTCAATCATGCGATCCGCCTCGTCCATGCACAGATACCGACACATGTCCAATGTAAGTATCTTTTTGTCCAGCATGTCCATGAGTCGTCCAGGAGTGGCCACCACAATGTGCACTCCACGCGATATCACATCTAGTGCCTCGGATACGGGCAGTCCGCCCATAGCCAGGCAGGAGCGAATCTCAGGCATACCGCACAGCTGCAGATGCTTACTGTAATGTTGAATGATTTCGTGCGTCTGTTTGGCCAGTTCACGTGACGGACATATGATGAGGCCATATGGACCCTCGTTGCGTTCGAAGGGCAGACGGAATTCCTGTTCCAAGGCAAACATTACAATCGGTAACACAAACACCAGCGTTTTGCCAGAGCCCGTGAAGGCAATGCCAATCAAATCGCGGCCAGCAAGTACAGTTGGCAGACCCTGCACTTGTATGGGCGTTGGTTTCTTTATTCCCTTGGCAGCCAGACCATTGAGAATGCCTTTGTGAAACTTCATCTCGCGAAAGCTGCGAATGGGAGGGCTAACATTTTCGCCTTCCACCAAGATTCTCAGCTGCTTACGTATAGCCTGCCGCTCCGACTCGGGCATGGCTTCTATATAGCGCGGTGGCCTCCATGATGTCTTAATCGGTTCTTCATACTGTATACCCTTAGCCAATTCCGCTACACCCATCAGTGCCTTCTGCTGCGCAATGCTCTCCATGATCTTTTCCTCCTCTCGAAGCTGTTTCTCCACGGCGCTCAACTTTTTGGCTTCCGCAATTTTTTTAAGCTCTGTATGCTGGTCCAGCAAACTGATGTTGTATTTGCGACCCCAAGTCTCTGCATCCTGGGTCCCTTGTGCATCATCTTCGTTTTCATTTTCGCTAGAAGATTTGGGATGTGTTGTTTCAGTGGCGAGTTGAACGATGCGGCCTAGTTTCATCAAATGTTGCTTTTTCCGTTCTTTAACAGGTACATAGGGCACATAATTGTCTTCCTTCTCTTCTTCATCAGACGATTTGGAGTTACGTCTGTAACGTTTTATAGATGTACTCATATTTATTTATTTACATGAACGGAGTTTTTTTGCTCTGAATCCAAACGTTTCCAACAGCAGGGTGCTGCCACATGGGTCAAATCGATAAGCTCAAAATTTTAATATCAGCAGTTTGGCAGCACCATAATATTTTTAATTTTCTGCTGCCAGACCGTTTATGATTTGATATATCTGTGGACACTGACCAGTCCTGCGGAACAATGAGTTGATAGTTTATTTATTCGGTCGGCACAATTTTCAAATAGTGCAACTAAAGTTTTGTAACACATTTAAAACAACTTTAGTACTATAAATATAAAAGTGGTTAGTGGTTTTACCCAGCTGTCAGCGAGCGTTACCGCTGGCTAAGTCGATATATATCGAGCTATCATTGCAAATTATCGAGAAATCATTTATTTCTTCTTAGACGTCAACTCGAACTAATTACGAACCACTTGCAAACTGAGCAGTGTAATCTTGTATAGTAATTGAGTGAATATTAATTTTCGTCATCATGTCTATGTCAAAGACGACAAATACATATAATCGGCAGAATTGGGAGGACGCCGAATTCCCAATCCTCTGCCAGACCTGCCTGGGTGATAATCCATACGTACGCATGATCAAGGAACGCTTCGGCAAGGAATGCAAAATCTGCACCCGGCCTTTTACCATATTCCGTTGGTGCCCAGGTGCGCGAATGCGCTTTAAGAAGACTGAAGTATGTCAAACGTGTGCCCGGTTGAAGAACGTGTGCCAGACGTGTCTGCTGGATTTGGAGTATGGTTTGCCCATCCAGGTGCGCGACGCAGCACTGAAAGTGGCAGACACTATGCCACAGAGTGATGTCAATAAGGAGTTCTACATACAGAACATTGATGCCCAGCTCCAGGATGGAGATGGTACTGAAGCAGCTGGTACCGTAGGACGCTCATTGGCTGCAAACGAAATGCTATCGAAACTGGCACGTACAGCGCCTTATTATAAAAGGAATAGGCCTCACATCTGCTCTTTCTGGGTGAAGGGCGAATGCAAACGTGGCGAGGAGTGTCCCTATCGGCATGACAAGCCCAACGAGCCGGACGATCCACTATGCGAGCAGAACATTAAAGACCGATACTACGGACGCAACGATCCCGTTGCCGAGAAGATAATGAAGCGTGCCGCTTCATTACCCACGCTGGAGCCGCCGGAAGATCGTAATATAACAACACTTTACGTTGGCAATTTACCTGAAGAAATCACTGAGCCGGAAATACGTGATCAATTCTATCAGTATGGAGAGATACGTTCCATTGCGCTTGTGCCGCGCCAGCAGTGCTCTTTTGTCCAATACACCAAACGCAGTGCCGCCGAGTTAGCTGCCGAGCGCACCTTCAACAAACTGGTAATTCAGGGTCGCAAGGTTAGCATAAAGTGGGCCCATTCTCAAGCCAAGCAGAGCACCGCCGCCAAGACAGATCGCCGTTTCGATGTTGCAGGCATACCACCTCCGAGTGCTAAGCCAAACGACTACTTCAATCTACGCCAGGAACAAATAAATGTCATGCCGGCAGGTATGAAGCTTCATCAGCTGCCTTCCAATCTAGTGCCGGCCTCTGCATATCAGATGTACGCCCAACCTAATTTTGCAGCGCCCTACAGTGGACTCCCAAGCAGCGGTAATAGTGGAGCTGCTTCGGCCCCAAATAGCACAACCACAAGTACCTCTGGTGTGAATCTCGATTCGATTCCACCACCGCCTGGACAAATGCCGTATCCCAGCCAGGATGCTAGTCGCATGGGCGCCATAAAGAAATAATATTCATTTTATATCAATATATCATGTAGCTAATGCTACCTCAATAAAACAAATAAAAGGACGTCTTAAATAAAAAAAAAGTTAATATTATCTTCCATTTGAACTAGCTTTGAGATCGATCATGTATTCTAATTGACTATGAACGAAATCAGCCATTTCCTATAGAAACATTCAACTGCAAACATGACACAGATTTATATTTGCTTTAAAAATTACACTTTATGCCTATTGTTAGCTTAATCACAGATATAAAATACTTGATATATCAAATTAGTTATTATCCGGCGTAATTACGGAACGTTTCCTTTGTATTAGACGCTGAGCACGTTGCGACTTTTGCCGCTCAATGAAATGAGCCCGAAGTGCAGAAAAGTCGATGCCGCTCCTGTACTCCAACGAGTTGCGCTCATCACTGCAAGTAAAATCATTATTTGTATATATATACCCCTTTTTTTTAGGGTATCTCACATGGGCTCTCGACTCCAATAGGTAGGCACACATTGGAGACGATTGCGGAGAGTTTCAAAGGCAACAGTTTGTGGCAGCAACATAAGTATGCCAAAGAGCGCATGTGCCAAGTATTGAGCATCAGCACACTTATTCGATTTGGAAACAAGTGTTAGGCGCAGGGCAGCAAAAATTGGAGATTCAATGAGCTGAACAAGCTTGTCCAATTCGCAGAGCAGCTCCAGCGTAATCTCTACATCCGAGCTGAAAAACAAGGCATTACATATGATAAAGAGAAAATGATGAGCTTGTCACTTACAATAGAATAACTAGCTCAGAGACATGCTGATAACACTGAGCGATCAAACAAAGCGACAACGTGGACACTGGACAGCACACCCAGCTTTTGTAAAGGCATTGGAAGAGGTCTGCTGATTTTGGATCCGAAATCTCTCGCAAGCTAGTGCGTAACTCAAACAGTTCTGTTGAAGTCAGCAATATATTGTTTAAGAGTCGCACAAGCGTAGAAGAAAACTTCAGATTGAGCACTCCTTCGGCAATGATCTCAGCAAAGGTGCGATAGACATACTCGGCATTCAGTAGAACACACAGGTTTCTAAAAATGGTTAGTGTACATTTGTGTATATGTATCGAAGCAATTGTCTTTGGCTATGGGTGCTGTCATACACTAGCCCACAGTTACAATGCATTTATTTAATATGTGTTATTTTACCTAATAATAAGACTGGCTCGGTTTTCCAATATCAGTTTGTCCTCGGTGAACAGATTCAGCAGGCTCAGCAAAAATTTACGATAATGTGGCTTATTAAAGTCATCTAGATCTAAATAATTACCATTATTATTATTAAATTACTGAATAAGTCAAACACTGAGAGACCCACCCTTTGTATCCTGCGAGTTGATTATCTCAGCCAGCACACATAAACTTTGCAGAACCACCTCATCCGAGTTGTCCGATAGCGTGGCCAATAGATTGTTGTTCAGATTGCTGCCGTGCAACGCCATTTCGTTGGGAAAATTTAAAAAGAGGTGATGTATCCATTTAAGTACTGCAATCTTTGTGTGCACTGAGTTGTGCGTGAGGTATTGCGAGAGCACTTCCATAATCGAACGTAAATCAATTTTGGCTACATTCTGGGTTTTGAACTCCTTTGAAGATACCAGCTGCATCATTGAGTTGTTCACAGAGACAGCGCACTCCTTGATGTCTAAATTAAAACATTTCAATACTTACACAGAGACATAATCTCTGCTTGAATGCACTCACTGCGCTTGGACTCCACATTGTATTCAAGGCATGGCAAAATAGCTGTGAATATGCCACTCGCATAGGGCAACACGTTTGGGCCAAATATTTGCACGAATTCTCTTATCCATGAAATAGCAATGGATTTGATTAATTCGTTCAAAGATTGTGCGTGTGTTATCAACGTGTTGATTGTATCCTCCATACGCACTGAGGAGGAATCATTTCGTATAGACTTTAAGAACTGACTAATCGTGTTCTCGCACATGGGCTGTATCTCCGGCGTATTATCCTCTAGCATGACGAAGAGACCATCCAATATTTCAGTCAAATAGTTAACCATGTTAATATCGGGTACAGCATTCAGGATTGAGATCCACGAAATGACATATTGACGTGCGAACAGATTGTTCACATACATGCGCTCCCTAAGCAGCGGAATGAAGGCTTCTAGATTGAAGGTCTCATACGATTCCGTGACAATGTCCTGCAGGAATAGATCAGTAAATATCTCTCTCTCTATTCGCTATTTTGTAATATAATGGTTTCAATAAAACCTTTAGCAAGCGATCCAGCAGTTCACTGCCGTCCTTCACCATTTGATCGGAGTCGGTGACCAAACGCGATAGAGCGGCGAATAATTCTGGGAAGTACGGTATAATGGCTGCACGGGCTACTTTAACCACATTGTATAGGGATTCACAGGCAAAGTAACGTACGCGCAAGTCTGGATCGGACAAACAGTTCATTATGGGTGTCACCAGCTCATTCACGTATTTATCCGAATCCTTAGCAAAAGGTAACGATAAACAGAAAAATGTGATAATGTCATGCATTCATGATAAGTGACAGTTGAAGCAATAGATATCTAGATATCTCCCGGTTACAAATCAAAACAGAAATTCGTTATAGCATATATAAGGGTATATTCATGATTAATACATAAAGTTTTTACCTTGCCTAGCCCTAAGCCCGTTGCAGCCAACCCAATGAGCGCTCCTTTGCGCCGATTAGCATCGCGTGATGTGGCATAGTCGTTTGAGAGCACTTCGATCAGCTTTCGTATTTGTGTTGCATTATTCTTATTATTAAACTCACCGACCATTCTGTAGAATTATGAATAATTAGTATGTCTGTTGCAGCTGCAAAGAGGGCGTTTTCTTTGTAATATTTACTTCTCAATTTCTTGGGAGGCTACTTTCCGCTTTTCGTAGACTTTGTCGCCCAGCGCTTTAGCACAGGACTCACTTAAAGGTGCATACGGGGGCTCCATTGTTTTATTTGTATTTTAAAATAAAAATATTTAAAGCTTGTTCTTTTTTCGCAGTGTTGCCACTGTTATGTGCAGCTGCTTGATCAGTGTTGCCACTATGTCTCGCACAGCTGTTTAGTGAAGCTGCCACTAAGCAATCAATTGTGGACAATTGATTAATATTATTAAATGACCATACACAAAATTTCCATCCCATTATTTTATTTACACAAAAAAGTGTACGCAAGTAATGGATTAACTGGAAATCAATAAAAACGTGTATATATTGCCATCCTGCTATATATATCTAATCCCTACATTTGAGTTACATTTTTAAACTAATCGAAACCAATTCAAATAGATAATTACAGCAATGTTTTGTGAGAATTAACTTTAAGTTAAGGTTTATGTGTAAGGGAGTATAAAAAGTAACATAAAAGGGAAAACAAATAAGTTTACGCCTGCGCTGTGATCCCATCTATTCTATGATCAGTGGAAACTTTTCCACCTCTGAGCACTCTTGATTGAAGCTCGTGATGAACTGCTGCAACTTGGCCTCATGTTCTGCATCTCTGCGCGTTCGCTTCTGTGGTGGCATTGCCCTTTTGGGCAATTCGTCACTATTGTTCTTGGAACCGTGCTCGTTGGCCTCGTCCTCATTTTCGGATGAATCTGAGTCGATGAAGAGAACACGCACACGCTGCTTCCGCTTCCGCTTCGGTTTCTCCACCACGTAAGTCCGACGTGGCTTCTACAGAGATTCAAACGGATTTCATTAGTTTTTTACTTAAATTGGACTAGCTATTAAAATTTAACTTAATTTTGTACGAGCTGCTTACTACCGCTTGAAGATGAGCTTAAATCTTAGCGGCCCTGTTGGCTCACTCAAAATATATAGTCATTTTGATTTTGATTTAATTTAGCGCAGCATCAGCAAACACAGATGCTTCAGACTAAAAAGCGTCGTGTGTTTGTCAAGCGCAGAATAGATTCGAGAATTTTAACACTCACCTTTTCATCAAAAGTTGTCTCTGGTTCGATATCTTTAAATAACGCTATTGATTCATTCGTCGGTTCCTTACCAATCATTGTGGAGCACAGCATATCTTTGATGTTACGCTGCCGGGGCTCCCGTGCGTTCAAATCATCGTAAGCATGTCGCATAGGGGCTTGCGATACCTGGGGTAGCTCCTGCTGTACAGGTCGCAGCTTCTTCAACCGCTGCAACTTTTCGTGTAGTGTTGTCTCGGTGCAACTTTTCGTCACGCTTTGGTTAGGCTCCCGGACGCAGATTTCATCTTCTTCACTGAGAAAATCCTCGAAGCCAAACAGATCACAGCCTTGTCGCTGCTGCTCCTGCTTATCCCGTGCACACTGATGTTCTGGACTATAACTATTGAGTTCCTGCTGCTCATACCGGGTCTGGTATTCTTTTGTGGGGTTCTTGCTGGTTTGTTGTCCTGGAATATTGCTGTTGAATTCTTGCTGTTGATTGCTATTCAGGGACTCTTTTGTAGGGGTATTGTTTTTTTGTTGAACATTTTTCTTCCACGATGGCAGTACAACTACATCCAATATATTGATGTCCTTTAAAGGACTACGATATTGAAGTGCTCGTCGCGGATTAGGTAATTGCACAAGATTCGTCACATTTTCGTTATCATCCACTGGCTTGATTGTCGTCAATGACTGCGGCCCAGTGGCTGTCTCTGCTGTTACTGCTGATGGCGGAACATTTTCCCTATCTGAATCGTTGCCAACGGAGCTAATGTCCTGTTCAATAGAAGCAGAGCACTCAGGATCACCGGGTAAATAGACATGCCGCTTGCGTATAAAATCACTCGAGTAGGAGGGTAATTGTGATGTGTTCAGGCCAAACTCAAAAGTGTTAGGCAGCGGCGTCTCGTCAGGCACCCGCCAAGGAGAACTGACGCCACTAGGAGTAGCCGCTGAAGGTAGCGGCGACATTTGTCTTGTGTCTGAATTCCCTCGCACAGGAGAAAATATAGCTGTATTTGCATCTAGAGCTGTATTGCTCCTACCATTCAGCGGTGTGCTAATACATTTCTTGGCCATATGTAGCAGTTCAAGGCGCCTGTCCGTGAATTGCTGTGCCTTGGTTTGATTGAGCATGAGAGAGCGCGCTAATGGACTATAGGCGCCCTCAACAACTGTTTTATGTGCCACTGCAGTCGTTGGTGGTAGCTGGACGGGTGTCTCTGCTTGCTCAGGTGCAATATCTACTCTTAAATTGTTTTGCTCCTCGCAGAGGGGAGAAAGGTGTGGTTGCTCCGCCTCGTAAGCAATGATTGGATCCTTTCCAGCTATGTTGCGAACGGAGCACTGCTTTCGTTTGCCCACTGGACGCACTTTTTTACGTACAGCGCGTGCACGTGTTTTGCCCGTTTTTGAGCGAGTCATCGCACAGGCTCGACCATCTTCAATCATATTTTTTATTATATCCGCCGCCGGATCGGGCTTTTCATCGTCTTCGATTTGGGACTGGGAAAGAAAGTCATAGACTTGCCTTGTCACCGAAGAACGTGTTCTGGCTGGTGGCTGATCTCGATGAAAAAATCGTGGCATACGTTGTGGCATACTCAACTTCTCCTGCCCATTCTGGCACGTATCCTGAGTATTTGCGTCACGTAAGATACGTTCTTGACTTGCTACGGTGACAGTACCTTAAATGTTGTGAGTGGTTAACTGATCATTAGGCGTTTCGTTAATTGTTTACCTTGATGCTGCGGACAATTTCTTGCCGGCTTGGCGCCCGGGTGCTTCTTGCCAACATCTACGAATCGCGCAGGTGGTAGGTTCTCTAACTGCTTCTTAGCAATATCTTGAACAGTGGAACAGCGGCGTAAACGTACGCGACAGGGTTTTATCGAAAAATCTAAGGTAATATGTTTATTTCGATCAGATAAATATGGTACTTTTACATATTTGTCTACCTGAGTGCTGTCTGCACGTGCTCTAAAATTTTTGTGAGCGGTTAACGTAAATTGCTTACCTTGGTGCTGAGTGCAATTCCTTAGCGGCTCGTCGCTCAGGTGCTTCTTGCCAGCATCTGCCATTTGAGCGGGTGGTGGGTTTTCTAGCTGCTTATTGGCGAAGCGAAGTATGCGTACTCGACAAGGTTTTATTGAGAAGTCTAAAATATTGTGCATGATTAGGCGAATAGGTATATTAGGTAAATACACTTTATAGTTTACCTGAGTGCTGTGTGGACTGGCAGTTGCTCAAACTCTTTGCCCTTCGGTCCACATTTTTCTTGTCCGTAACTGTTAGTTTGAAGTTTCGCCTGTCAGCATTCTCGGGCGCCTTCCCCATACCCTGCAAATTACCTGTAGTAATAAAGTTAGAGTGTCGAGATTATGCGAATAATGCGCATTTATTTGCTTGCCTGATTGTAATGAGTAACTCCTTGCCTGTGCATCGTCCCGGTTTTCCTTGTTCCCATCTTTTAATTGCGCAGTTGTTAATGTATTATTTACATCGTATGTTGTCGGATCCCTTGCATTTAGTTTAAGTCGTTTAATTCGCACAATGCAATTGCGTACTTGGACTAAGTTATTGCGTTTTAACTCTTTACTACTGGGAGTTATTGTTGCCGTTTCCAAAATAGCTTTATTGTTTAGCTTTGTTAAAGTTGTTCGGGTATTTGTTGATATATTTGATTTGTTTCCAGCACGCACTGTTCGTGCTTTTATTTTATTTGATTTCACCATTTTGGTTAAAACATGTTATAATTTACTAAATTAAACGCCATTTACATCCACTAAATGCTTTCCCGCCATTTTTGTTACTTTGTTGTTACACAGGGCCGCAGCTGCTAGCTAATCGTTAGACATGTTATCGATAAGCATAGATAAGTTTCGCAAGCAGCAGCTGATAGATGATGTGACGATAAATATAAAAAGAAAAAAAATTTCGACGTTTAATTAATATGTAACACAACAGCTACGCTACGACGTTTGATTAAAATTCCAAATTTCCAAATTGTGGTGTGTTTGTGTGCTCGCAAATAAGCAGACTGTGCGTTCAGCCACAGTCCAGCAAGGGCAAGTTCAACCAAATTTGTTGTTTTGTTCCAATCAAAAAAAGTAAAAAAGCCCCAACGAGTGAAAGTTTTCTCGTCTTTGTTTTGTAATTGTAATTGTTTTTTTTTCTTGGCTACCATTTTCGAGCCCATATTCACACGGTATGAGCGCTACTCGTGGTTGACATCAATTTTGCTCACTTATTGTCAGTTTTGTTATACATGTATACATCTGTATATAAAAAAAATATATATACAAAAATCGCGTCGTATCCCCTGAATTGGCCTTGTATTATTTGCGCCAGGTACCATCAATAAGACAGAAGAAGAACATAGAACAGAAAAAACTCGCGCGAAACTATTTACATCGAACATATACCCAAACCCTACCACCCTCCTCTCCCACAAACACGTTGCAAACAAGTGCAGGCAGCCCAGCAAAATGAAGGCTGTTTGTGACGAGTGGAGAAAGAGAGAAGAAAAGAGTTCGAATATTGAATACCCTATTTTAAACTTAATATGACTTTTAAAGCAGATGTATGCTAAATTCACTAAATTCACATTCAATCTAAAAAACCCTTATTATGAACAAAAATTATAATTACCCTAAAAAATAATCAAATCATCTAGCGAATTATTAATATCTAGTCTTATATCTCGTTAGGAGGGGGATTGGGGATTGGGGATTGAGGATTGTGTGTTCAAGGTCATTTTGTAAGCACAACTGAAGCACATTATATACTGACATACACAAATTTGCTTGTTATATATAATTTTAATATCTAATTTACAAAACAGTTGGCCGTCCAAGTCGAAAGTTTTGTCGAGTCGAGTGAAGCCTTTGCGGTGGAAAAGTGGAAGTCCGTAATACGTCGGGAGCCAGAGCTTAAAGCCAATTTGTTTGTCGTTGTCGCCGCAAAAGATGTGCGATACCAGCGACAAGGCACAGAAATGGAAATGTGAAATTTGCACCTATGAGAATTATCCATCGTCCCTAAAATGCACAATGTGCCAGGCATCCAAGCCGTTGCTGAACGAGGATATTTTTCGGTAAAACGTGTGATATATTTAAGCGATTGGTAAATAATGAATTTTTCATTCGTTGGAACAGTCTCAGTCCAGCACAGACAATACATGACAACTGCAACAACGCCGAGGAGGCGGCAGCTGGTCTGCCTGTCGAGCCCACATCCACATGCTTTGCACGTCAATCAGCGCAGCCCCAGCCGCAGCAGACGCGGCACAGCAACGTAGCTGATAGTGAGAAATGGGCTTGCAAAGTGTGCACCTATTTAAATTGGCCGCGCAGTCTGCGCTGTGTGCAATGCTGCACGAAACGTGGAGCTGCGGATAAAGAGACCAACGAGGCCGGCGAAGCACTGCAAGCTTTACGTATTAGCGGGTCCGATACGGAGCTCAACGCCACGGAACATGGAAGCAGGCTAATTGGCGCTGTTGCTTCCAATTCAAATCGACGTAATGGCAGTCCCAGCTTGGAGCAGCAGCAAATCTGCAGTAATTCAACGCTTCTCAATAATATAGCCAATACATCTCAGAGCCACCAACAGCAGCAGCAGCCACAGTTAACAAACCAACAGCAATTGCAGCAGCAGCACCAGAATTTGTCAACGCAGCAGAAGCTGTGCCACGTAGCCAAATGGGCGTGCAATGTGAGCAATTATAAGTCATTTTATGTATCAGTTTATCTAACAATTTCATGTATCCTTAACAGTCCTGCACATACGAGAACTGGCCCAAGAGTCTCAAGTGCTCCATGTGTGGAAAAGCGCGCGAATTGAGCAACTCTGGCTCACAGTCCGATTTGCATGCGTGTGCTAGCAATTCCGGCAGCAACAAGCAGCTAAATCAGCAGGAGGAACAGCAACAGCTGCAGCAGATAAACACGGACACCGTCAGTGTTAACAATTCGTTCAATAAGAAGCATATTTACCAACTAGGTGAGTAGTAAATCATTTATCCATTCTATATAATGTATTTCTGTCTAATTATGTATGTGGTCTTCTTTTAAACAGGTTCTTCGGAAACTATCAACAACTGTGATACGCTACAAGAGCGCCAGGAGCGGCGTCAGCGTCAGATCAGGCGGCAGGTCGATTGGCAGTGGCTTAATGCCTGCCTTGGCGTTGTAGAGAACAATTACAGCGCTGTGGAGGCGTATCTCTCGTGTGGTGGCAATCCGGCTCGTTCATTGACCAGCAATGAAATAGCCGCCTTGAATCGTAATTCGGCTTTTGATGTGGGTCACACACTCATCCATCTAGCCATACGTTTCCATCGCGAGGAAATGCTGCCGATGCTCTTGGCACAGATCTCTGGCTCTGGGCCGGGTATTAAGCGTGTACCGTCATATGTGGCACCCGATCTGGCAGCGGATATACGTCGCCACTTCTCGAATACGCTGCGCATACGTAAATCTGGCCTACCCTGCCATTATGTTCAGAAACATGCTACATTCGCGCTGCCCTCAGAGATTGAAGAGCTGCCCATACCTATACAGGAGCAGCTTTACGATGAGCTGCTCGATCGTGATGCACAGAAACAGTTAGAGGTGCCGCCGCCGGCACTCAACTGGTCTTTGGAGATTACAGCAAGGCTGAGCTCACGTCTCTTGGTGCTTTGGAATCGCAGTGCTGGGGATTGCCTACTCGACTCAGCAATGCAGGCCACTTGGGGGGTCTTTGATCGCGACAACATTCTTAGGCGCGCGCTGGCTGACACTTTGCATCAGTGTGGACACGTGTAAGTGGGTCTAATAGCAGCTCGTAGTGAATTCCCTCATAGTTTGATGTATATTCCATAGTTTCTTTACCCGCTGGAAGGAATATGAAATGCTGCAGGCATCAATGCTGCATTTCACTCTAGAGGACTCACAGTGGGAAGAGGATTGGAGCACGCTGCTGTCCTTGGCCAGCCAACCGGGCTCTTCATTGGAGCAATTGCATATATTTGCCTTGGCCCACATATTAAGACGTCCAATCATTGTGTACGGCGTTAAATACGTGAAGAGTTTTCGCGGCGAGGACATTGGCTATGCTCGTTTTGAAGGTACGTTTGGCATGCAAAGTAAGGAAGCTCTAGTCGAGAGTGTCGACTACGAGATCCATGATATGCATGCATTTGTTAAAGCACAAGTCTCTAGTGTTAGAAATACGTCTTTTACAAATATGTGGGTGAGGGGGTAGGTATAGGGGTGGGGGTAAACTTTAGCAAAAATCGAAATTGTATAAAGTGCATATAAGTATACATTTAAAATTTTGAGACTTTAGCTTTAAAGTTGTAGGAGATATAATTTTATAACTGATTTTCGATAAGGTTTTTATCGAAAAAAATATCAGGAGTAGTTATCGATTTTTAAAGCAAAACTCCATATTCGCGTGGTAGACACGGAAATAAAAAAAAAAATTGAAGTCCCTAGCTCTTATATCTTCTGAAATCGAACATACGGACAGACTGATGGACGGACAAACAGACAGACGGACAGGGGGAAAATCGACTCGGCTCGTCGCCTTGATCAAGAATATATAAACTATGTGGGGTCTTCCACGCCTCCTTCTGCCTGTTACATACATTTCAACAAAACAATAAAGAAAGCTTTAGTCGAGACTGCCCGACTACTATGTATATCCCCTGAACCCTTCAAGCAACTGATATTTCAATAGTTACTCACACATGCACACACACACGCTCACTCACAGCCATACGCACGGACGCATAAACACGCATTGACTGCAGTGGTGGCTTACTATGGGAAGTTAATTGTTTAATAGCTTTTCTTGTGTATGGACTATCATGAAACATTCAGATTATGAATGTAACATAGATATGCATGTATTTGCCAAAGCACAAGTCTTTAGTAGTTGGAATACGCCTTTTACAAATGTGAGGGTGAGGGGGTGAATTAGGAGAGGGGGGTACATTTTGACAAAAAACGGAATTGTATAAAATGCATACATATAAAATTTGGAGACTAGCTTTAAAGATGTAGGAGATATAATTTTAAAACTGATTTTCGATAATGCTTTTAATCGATAACAAAATAACGAGGCAAATTATAGATATTTAAAACAAAACTCGATATGCGCGTGGTATACACGGACCTAGAAAAAACAAAATTTCAAGTCTTTAGCTCTTATATCTTCTGAGATCGACGCGTTCAAGCATACGGACAGACGGGCGGACGGACAGACGGACAGGGCTAAATCGACTCAGCTCGTCGCCCTGATCAAGAATATATATAGTTTATGGAGCTGCCACGCCTTCTTCTGCTGTTACATACATTTCAAGAAACCCATTATACCCTGATTTCCCATTTTCAATGGGTTCAGGGTATAAAAATGAAATAGGACTGTCAACAAGCATCTACTAATATGATGTCATTAAGTGCATATTTGCTTAATTAGACGAAATTCGTCCGTACCTATATTTTTAACTGTCGTAGATTGTTAATAGCAGTCGAGTATTATTTTCTATTCATATATATTTGTTTCTAGGTGTATATCTACCTTTATTCTGGGAACAAAACTTTTGTACAAAATCGCCCATTGCACTGGGCTATACACGCGGTCACTTTAGCGCTCTGGTCCCAATGGAGCCGTTCTCTCGCATCGATGGACGTCGGGATGATGTCGAGGATGTTACTTATCTGCCCCTAATGGACTGTGAACTGAAGCTGTTGCCCATACACTTTCTTACACAAGCGGAAGTGAGTGCTAATCAACAGAAGATCAAATCTATATGAAAGATTTCACTGTTGTTCGCTTACAGGTGGGAAATGAGGAAGCAATGATGCGCCAATGGTTGGATGTGTGTGTCACCGATGGAGGACTACTGGTGGCACAACAAAAGTTATCTAAACGACCGCTGCTGGTGGCACAAATGCTGGAGGAATGGCTGAATCATTATAGGCGCATTGCGTGAGTCCGCCAAATTCAATGATATCTTATTGATTATATTTATATACATATATATATTTAAATAGTTTGATTTATTGATTTGACTTGTAGACAAGTGATAACTGCACCCTTTGTGCGTCGGCCGCAGATAAGCCACTATTCGAGTGATGGTGATTCGGATGAGGAATAACGGCGACAAAGGTCAAAGGTCTTCTTTAATTGAAATTTCACGCATGGTTAATGGATTGGAAATTAATTGGTTATGAAAGCCCATACATATACAGTGAAAAAAAAGAAAAAAAAATATATTAAAAAAAGTTATATATATTTTGATTTGGTTGCAGGCAACAATTGTTCTCGACCGATTCTATGCACGTGCAATTAGCAAACGTGGGTGTATATTTATATGAATATATACATACTAGTTAAGCTGTAGTTGCAGGCAAACTAAACTTCAACAGCAATGTAATAAAAATACATTSAACTATACGTATATATATTCAAACATACAAATATATATATAGTTATATATGTATATATATTTATCTGCACACATATTTCCACATTAACTTCAGTGGATTTTAGTCAAATTTATTCGCGTAATTCGGATTTGGAGACAGGCTAACAGATATTGTCAACATTATAAAGCAAAAAGAGAAAACAAAATTATATTTCAATATTATAAAGTAGTTTAAATTACTTTAAAAGGAGAATCTTTTAGAAATGCGAATGGAAATCGAGAAATGAGAAATATTGAAGAAACATGAGTAAATTATATATGTATGTATATGATTCTTATAATTAACTAAGTATGTATGTACTTTTAAACTATGCAAAATCTCGATGTACTATTAAATTTTAACTTGTGAAAGATTGCACCGGATTGGGTGAATATGAATTATGAATTTTATTCTAATTGTAAAAGTTTTGTTAGTAATGTTATTATTATTATTATTATTACCATTATTATTATAATGTTTAAGAAAGCTTATTGTGCAAATGTACACGCAAAACGCATTAAAAAAAATATCAAAACAAATTTTCCGCCTTTTCTATCGATAGGTGATTATCGATAGTCTAATTGGTTTGCTCATCTCTACTTGTATCTGAGATATTCTCTCATTGCAGCTCATTTAAAAGATAGTCGTTTTGTTGCTGCCGTCGTCGTCGCTTGGTGCTGTTTGTTGCTGCGCGGGGTTTTTTTTTGGAATAGCTTAAATTGGAATTTATATTTGTTAAGCAACTGTAGTAAGAAGCATACAAGAAAAGCCAAAAACAATTTGATTTCACTGTGATTTTCTTGGATTTTGGGACATAAATATAATTTTGTGAATGCAGAAAGCCGAATGCGCATCGAATTTGCGTCAAACACATACATACATACACACATACACGCAGAGCCCCAGCCACCTACAATTGATACATAAATACACGTGAATTGCGAATGCATACGGAAAAGATACAAATAGAAAAAAATCTAACAGAGGAAAAAATTTTTTAGTGAAGTGAAGTGAAGGGGCTGGCTAAATTAGTAGTGGTGACCTGTGCACCTATACCATTCTTATTGTTGCTTTCTACTCGTGCGTGTGTTTGTGTGTGTTACCCTCCCCCCTATTGCAGGCGCTAGAGTGAAGAGCATAGCAGTATCTCTCGCAATGGGTAAGTTGTTTGTAGTAGTAGTGCCGACACTGAATACGGTTGACTATATATGTACGTCTGATGTGTGTGTGTGTGAGCGAACGAAATTGTGCAAAGCCGAAGACCATGAGTGTCAGTAAAAGAGGGTGGCCAGGGCCACTCTCTTTCGCGCGCGGTCTCTCTCTCTCTCTGTCCTTCTGTCTCTCTATTGCTCTATCTAGTACTCTTTGTGTTGGCTCTCATATTTTCGAATGTATGTATGTGCACATGTGTACATATAGATTTAGTTGATGGTATTAACGCATTAGTATCGTATTATGGCACGGTATAAGGAAACCAGTAAAATTTCGCTAAGTGTGTGCATGTGTGTATGTGCGTGCAATTGTTAATCAATACTGGCCAGCTGGTTAGGCCCATCGACTGAGAGCGCAGTACTAAAARACCGTACTCTGATACTCACACACACACATATGATTGCTTTTCATCGTCCACTCCCCATTTTGGTTCTCAGCTGCGATGACGTCAGTGTGGTTGTAAGAACGAGTTTTTTGGTTAAGTACCTTCCTATTAACTAACCCACCGTATCCCACGACAGGGCCCCAAATTGGCGGCCGTATAAGCGAATCAGATTTAAAATGCAACTACAATTACACACGTTACCGTTAGGGTGTCGTCATCGTGAATACCTGTTAATTTACCGTTCGTCTCGCTCCCTGGGAACTAAACGCAGCTGGGAATCCATTGGAAACCTAAGTCGTTCGCTGTAATTGCATAGCCCTCCTGCAGTTGCTTTTTTGTCTTTATTTTTCTTGTGCTTCTGCTGTTGCTTCTGCTTCTACTTTTCCTACAGTTGTTTATGATTAATTGCTTTAGCTCGTCGTCCGGTGCTCTGGCCCTAATTAAGTTCATGTGCTTAGCCCTCGGCTCTCAGTTTTTGGACTGCGCCAGCGAACACTTGTAGTTGTGTGCGTGCTTAAAGTGCCTAATTGACTTGGGCAGCCGTCCATCGCTCCACCCTACCCATGGCCCAATATGGAGACAAGTCCATAATGTGCAGTGCTCGTTTCTCGTTCAACGATCTCAACGCAAAAGGCTTAACAATAGTCAGAGGCAACAGCAGCACTAGAATTACTAAAATTGCCCGACCGGTAGATACCCAGCAGCAATAAACTAGGGGTATCTATCTATTTATATGCAATAATATAACTCTTCAATAGCTAGTAATAAATTATTAACGAACTTAAACGTCACGTTCTATAAACTATTGATGATATTGACAATGATATACTTTCAGCTGCAACACAACTACCTGATTGCGATGCTTACAATGCTTGCAGGGTATAACAACAACAGCAAATTCTCAACATGAATTCATGTGCAGAGCATTGACTTCGTATTGGGCCTCGTTTTTGGCTGTGCTTTTTGATGTTCGTTGTGGTTTTTTATTCGGTTTCCTTTTTATTTTTGTTTTGTTTCTGTTTCATGTTTACCCCGTTGCGCTCATAGCACAAATGAAAATGAAAGGGGCGAGATGAGTTGCAACTGCCACAGTACCCTCCCCAAACCAACGCAGTCGCCTCTTTACTTTGTGGCACTTTTCTCATTTACTTGGTCGTTGATTTGTTCACGTCGTGCACTCGCCTGCATCTCATTTGCTCGCCCCCTTTGGCTGGGACGGGTTATATAGGTCAGAGCACTTGCATGAGAAAGTGGAGACGTCCTCTGCGTCGCGACGTCTGTTCGACTAATTGAATGCTATTTTCGTAGACGCAGCGTCATCATCAGCTCTCGCATTCACGTACTTCGTTGCGCTGTGCTTTTCTTTTTACGTCTAATAAGCATACAGGAAACACTCTTACCGCGGACGCAAACAACCAAAAATATGAGCCGCTAAAGTGGCCGCTGTGAAGAGTGTGCGACTAACAATTACTCTATTTTAAACTACGAGCTACTTTCTTATCTTCGGCTACATTTTAAAATTTTCAGTTTAGTGGAATTTTCAAGAGTTTGAGTTCGAATGGATAAATGTATCTCCGATCTCACAGTTTAAAATTACTTATTTATTCCACAAAATGAAAAAGAAACCTTATTTCTTCATTATATTATTCTGTATTCAACCATATCCTGTATTTTCATTCTTCTGTGTTTCATGACAGATTATGTATACGCCAGGTTAAGCTCATAAAAAAACACTTGCCAAACAATTTCGATTTGATGAGTAATTCGTTAAATATACACATTTATAAATATATATTTGTGTGCGTATGTGTATATGTATTTGATTATGTTATGGATATTTACCATAAATATAAATACGAATACATTTGGTATTCGTATGAGTGTATGAGTATGACACGCCCACGTCATTCATTTTGGTTGCTTCTCCAATGTTACATTTTTTTGTTCTCTTCACAATATACTATGTTGTCAGAATGTTTGCTGTCATTCGAATGTGGCCTAGCTTTCAAATGCCTTGTCTCGGCGTTATCCTGTCAAGGATCTGACGCGCATTTCACTCACGAGCTCGGGCAGGGCCAAGGACAGAGGCAATGCGTGCTCCGATTGACTGTACTTGCTGTTGGCATTGGCATTTTCAGGGTCGTCGTGCAGATCTTATACCCTGTATTCACAAGTGAATATAGCTATTTGGTTCTCAACATAAACGACGTTGACATGTCTCAAGATAGAGTGCAGTCAAATTTGGAAATTCACAAAAATCAATATTTACATTTCTGCTACCTTTTAACTCACAATAAAACATGCTCTCTTTTTCTCTCTGTCTCTCTCTCTTTCTCTCTCTCTCTATCTCATCGTCTCTCAGGTGGTGCAAACAGAGTATTGCGCTGTCGATGACGTCTTGCTGCAGGTTTTCGACGAAGTTAGAGACTTTGAATGTTTCGGTAAAGTAGGGCGCGGCTTAAATTAATTAAATATTTGGCCTGCAGTTGACCTCTCTGCCAGCCAGACAATTTAACCTTGGTTGAGTCCCTCTCTTACGCCTCCGTTATTGTTGTTTTTCTTTTTTATTTCATTTTTTGTTTAGCGTTACTCAAATTCAAATTCGATGCCGAACGCTATTCTTTCTCATAACCAGTTTGTGAGGTTATGTCAATGTTTTTTTGTGGCACAACTCCAATTCGTGGTAGGTCGCCGACTCTCTGACGACGAGGATGACATCATCCCAGAGCGGAGGCACTAAAATCGCTATCGCAATTACAATAAACATGTTCTCCAACTATATAGTCGGGGACCCGTCGACCACAGCGAAGCTGATCTGCCATGAAAACTACAAATTTTCATAGCGAAAAACTCATTGAAAATAATTTTGAGTTGTGGCCATGTATTTAACATGGATCTGTTAATGGAATAGGCGGACGGAGGAAAGCCGTTGATAAACAAAATGCCAAATTAAATGTGCGAAACGCTGAAAAATGTCTGTGATTGCATAATAAACGAGCGACAAAAAAAAGTTTAATTGAAACGAAATACACGTATGCGTAATGTGTGTGATTGAGTGTGTGAGTATATATGTGTGTGTATGTGTGTGTGTATGTGTGTGTGTGTGTGTGTGTGTGTGTGTGTGTGTGTGTGTGTGTGTGTGTGTGTGCGTGGCGGGACTGTGTTGTTTTCTGTGTGTGTTTCTGTCTGCGTTAGCTGCTGGCTTCATTCATACGGGCATACGTCACCGTTATAATGCGACGAGCTAACGGCATTGTTGCTTCTGCTTCTGCTGTCATTTGTTACCCGGCGCATTGCTTATCAATAAATTCTATTTTGTCGGCAGAATGAGAAAGAAAAGAAAAAATGATAAAGAAGAAGCGCCACAAATGAAAACTCCAAAGGAAACAAAAAACTAAACCCAAAAAGTAAAGATCATTAAAAAAGTCTACAGCAATTTTGAAGAATATACCCAAAATTTATGAGAAATTACTAAAAATATGGGCTCGACTAGCAAGTACCCTGTAGTCACTAGACAGCAGTTATGCCTCTATTGTTACTTTTATTTGTATGTTTGTATTTATACTCAGTCAGATACTGCGCGCTTCCATGGAAGTTGTAAATTGGCTAAAAGTTTAAAATGTTCTCATATATTATATTTGAGTGCGGTGTTTCCTTTTTTTTATCTCTTAACAGAATCGACGCTTTGTTTAGTTTGGTTTCGTTTTGAGCTGGCGACCTGTTTAGGCCCTGTTTCTTCTCACCCTCTTCCCCCCAAAATGCTACGGAAGACCGTCTTTCCATAGAAAATAGATAGAAAAAAACCCTTAGCTCTCGGAAGAACATCTGCTGCATTTTGTATGAGTTTGTTATGAGACTATTTCTTTATTAGTCATTAGGTCGATAATCTTTCGGCCTGAAAAAGCGTAGCAAAAGTATCAAGAAACAAAAATTAGTAAGCTTTAATAAATGTAGTTTTTATATTATTTAAATATAGTGTGCTATATCTTTATTTTATTTCCTTCTTTTATTTATATATCTCACTAATTCAAAAAATGTCTTTCGCACGCGATTTTTACCATTCCTTATGGTCTTTTCCTCTCACTCTTTCAATCTCGTTCTCTCACTGTCTGTCCCCCTGATTATGAGTTATATTTCTTGATAGACATCAGTTAAGCTTTGCCTCCCAATATTTCTTTCATTTCCTCTTTCTCTCTCTCTCTCTCTCTCTCTCTCGCTTTTTTCTCTCACTATTCGCCATCACTTATCACTTATCAATGAATCTGCTTGCTTTATCTGTTTTCTTTTACCTCTTATCATTACACCCCAGTGTCACCTTGTTGACTCTCTATCTACAAGTCTGTGTATGTATATAAGTTATAAGTGTTTATCGTATATAAGGCAACCACTGAGAAATTTCACCTTTTCTTCCCCACTTGTGCACACAAAGAACAGATAAAGAGAATAGGCACTTGAATTTATAAGGTATATACATACATATATATGCTACATAAGACATTTCGATATACTGAGACATGTTGCTAATTAATAGCTAGTAAATGCTTTACAACTTTTTCAGCTTACTTAAAATGTTCAGTTTATTTCAACACATAATGATAATTTTATCATTATCTATTGTCCTATATGGAAAAATCACGTTTTAGTCAAACAAAGCCGATATATTTAGACTTGCTCTGTAGGATATAAAAAGTTTTTCACGGAAACTATTTGAAAATTCTTAGTGTGGTCGGCTGTAACGATTTGATTTTCCCGTGCTGCTATGTATACTACAACTTAACTTCAAATAGAAAATCATAGTTGAAAGTATTTCCTGAAGCTATTCGAAAGGGAAACCCTGTTAGGTATTGCGTTGAGAGTGTTCTTACTAAATGTCTATTAAATGCTTTGCCCTTGGCCTTATCTATGATAAGATTAATTGCATATGACTAATGTGCGTACGTACTCACATATCTGTGTGTGTGGGCAAGTGTGCCTAGACTTATATTATATACATATACATAAATAGAAACATAAATATATTTATTATACACAGACGAACTGTCAATTAAGCTACATATATACACGATTCCTTCATACAGCTATATATTCGAGATTTTTGAATACGACACGTTGAACTGCGCTCAGACTAATGTCGGGCAAAACGGCACAAGGTTGGGGCATTATCACATCACATGCATATGACATCAGCGTACAACTTTGCGAATACGTAATCTGTGCCACATTATGAATACGTAAACGTTGAACGAATTCCAGCTCTAACCTCCCCCTCTCTCTATCTTTCTCTCTCTGGCAGGTAAACAAAAAATCTATTGTGCGAAATGCACAAAAAAGTGCTCTGGAGAGGTTCTGCGTGTGGCTGACAATCATTTCCACAAGGCGTGCTTCCAATGCTGTCAGTGTAAAAAGTCCTTAGCCACCGGCGGCTTCTTCACCAAGGATGGCTCCTACTATTGTATACCGGACTACCAACGGCTATATGGCACCAAATGTGCCACCTGCCAGCTGTATGTGGAGGGCGAGGTGGTCAGTACCATGGGCAAGACGTACCACCAGAAGTGCTTCACTTGCTCCAAGTGCACCCAACCATTCAAGTCCGGCAGCAAGGTGACCAACACCGGCAAGGAGGTGCTCTGCGAGCAGTGCGTGACGGGTGGTGCGCCTGCCTCGCCGGTGCGTAATGCAGGCGTACAATCGCCTGCACCGCCGGCAGAAAGTCCTACACGTGCCACCGCGCAGCAGACAACTAGCGGCATTTTGTCCCATAAGGCGCATCTGAAGGAGGACTATGATCCCAATGATTGTGCCGGTTGCGGGGAGCTGTTGAAGGAGGGCCAGGCTCTAGTGGCCCTGGATAGGCAATGGCATGTATGGTGTTTCTGCTGCAAGTCCTGCAATGCAGTTCTAAATGGCGAGTATATGGGTAAGGATGCGGTTCCCTACTGCGAGAAGTGCTACCAGAAGAGCTTTGGCGTCAAGTGCGCCTACTGCAATCGGTTCATCAGTGGCAAGGTGCTCCAAGCTGGCGACAACCACCACTTCCATCCAACCTGTGCCCGCTGCACCAAGTGTGGCGATCCTTTCGGCGATGGCGAGGAAATGTACCTGCAGGGCAGTGCCATTTGGCATCCACGCTGTGGTCCCGGCCCCTCCGAGTCCGGCATTATACTCAACGGTGCTGGTGGTGGCGTTGTCGGTGGTAGGCCAGGCACCACCTCGGTCACAGGCGGCGTCTCCAATGGCAACTTTACAGACACCGAATGCGATCGCATGAGCTCGAGCGCGCTCAGCGACATGGTAGGTGGAGACAAAATAAGTGCGGGTTGGGTGGGCCTCAATTACTGCACCAAGAAGCACTGCAGCTGCCATCCAGATCCTCCTCCTGCTCCTGCTACAGCTGCAACTACTAATATGAATGCCTAGCTATCTTACACTCGTGCGCACAGAGAAAAATCCAAAAGTTAAATTTTAAAGCGAACTAGAACTGTGTTTACTCACATTATTTTGCTTTATGAGAGGACTATTTTGCTGAACGTAGACACATACACGCATAGACATGTACACATTAACACACGCACCCGTTACCGACACAGAGAACACACCTGCCTTTTGCACCTATTTTGCAATTTATTTTGAGTTTGTACTATGATTTGATTTTGTTTTTTTACTGCTTTTCATTTTATTTCTTTCCACCTATTTTCGAGCTTGCCTTTTGATTTATTATCGTTCGTTTTGCAGTACATCCGTTCCAGAACACCGAGTTTTAATGGTTCACTTTATTCCTCTAGCCGCAAGGTTTGTTGTATAATTTTATTATAATTTCCTTTTTTTTTACATTTATTTATTCGTTTTTATATCTACATAAGCTTATCCAAAAACCCCATGCACCTCACGCTAGTGTCTGGCATATAGCCAATAGATCCTATATATAAATATATATACCAATATACCTATATTGCAGCACTATCGCACTGTCAGTCCGGGGCTGATTCTGCGCGAGTATGGTCGACCGATCGGAGAGGATATATCGCGCATCTACACCTATAGCTATCTGACCGATGCGCCCCACTATTTGCGCAAGCCAATCGATCCTTATGACAAAACACCGCTGTCGCCTCATTTCCATAGACCCACCTCCTATGCGACGACCAGCAACGCCGGGTCCGTGGCCGGCAGTCGTCCACCATCGCGTCCACATTCGCGAACGCGCAGCGCCATGAAGGTCCTAGTGGATGCCATACGGTCAGAGACGCCACGCCCTAAAAGTCCCGGTATGAACAACGAGGAGCCCATTGAGCTGTCGCATTACCCAGCTGCCAAGAAGCCACCACCGGGCGAACAGCCCAAAATAGAAAGAGACGATTTCCCAGCTCCTCCATACCCCTATACGGATCCGGAGCGCAGGCGACGCTACAGTGACACCTACAAGGGTGTACCCGTCTCCGATGACGACGACGAGGAGAACGAGAATGGCAAGCGTACCAATGGAAAGGTCAAGAATGACGAGGAGCAAACGTAAGTTGACTTATAGAGAAGAAGAATAACGAATCGACAGGGTATTATTAGAGCACCTACGACTACGCGCTCTAGTCGTAGGTGCTCTAAAACTGACTCTTAATGCAATTCTTAATAGTCGCCTGCAACGAGAGGCTGAGCAGTTGGAGAAGCTCAAATCTGGCATAGGCTCGGCTATTGCCAAGGACCTGAAGGAGCATGCCAAGTACAGGAAATGGAAGCAAAATAACCTGGATCCGCGCAATGCGTCGCGAACTCCTTCAGCCTCGAAGGAACCGCTGTACAAGTTGAGGTATTAACTCAGGCATAAACAACAAGACAAGCAAATTTTCTCAAGCTGGTTTCGTTCATAGATACGAATCGCCCATTGGCGCCTCGCCGTCACGCAATCTGGATCATCAAAAGCCCTTTTGTGAGGACGAGATGTTCGATCGATCCACTAGCTATCGTGGCTCACTGGGAAAATCGTTGGGCAATGCGCCCAGCTACAATGGTAAACATAAGATATGTGCTAGTCAAGGCTAGAGACCCCCGAGGGTGGCTGTCGGATAGAACCGACTGTGTAATGCTCGTTCACGATTAAAAATGTAGTTAGTTGTATCAGGTAAAATAGGATCTTAGACGAATGTACGCACAAGCGTAAAGGCAAAAAAAAAAAAAAAATTTTAGAGTTTGAACGAGTATATACAAACAAAATATAATTTTTCTTTTGATCCTCAGTTCGCTTTAGTTTTAGGTAGTTTTGGCCTCTCTTAAGGCGTAGGTACGGAGACAGACGACAATCTCATTAAATAGTCTGAATATGCATAGTCCATATGCAGGTCTGTATTGATTCAACGTGTCTTAGACCTGGCTTTGCAGTCCCAATTTGTCAATGTTAGTTATAGTAGCTTGGCACAGGCGCGTCCTCATTAAGTTTGTCAATTCGTATTATATGTATGTGCAACAATTACGTTTATAGCCATACATTCCTATCGCTCGCCGCCGAAGCCCGGATACGGATTCAAAACAACAACCTTGCCGCCATACATACGCAACGGCTACAGCTCCGTAAGTGCTGAGACTCAGTTACCCGTTGTTGCTGTTCCTTGGTGACCGGTCAATTGACTTGTAGTTAACATTATCTGCATATGTGTATCTATAGCATCTTAAGTAACATTTAACATCTTCTTAACCTCTTGGTCATTCACTAAAAGAATACAATCATTTGTCTCTTTCGGCTGCTCCTGCTGCTGCTGCTCCAACTCCAACTGTGTTTTTCGGCTCGGTCCCTTGGATGTAACTCAAACTCACTAACTTGAAATCTCAACTGGTTGGTCTGCTGCTTCCTTGTGCTGTGCCTCTAACATTTTCTTTCCAACTATTTATGTGTGTTTGCCTATGCTATATGTTTGCCATACCTGCCAACATTCTGTAATTCACTAACTACAATTATGTGGTGACATATATCATGAATACATTTTCAATCAACGACATCATTCCACACATATCTACAACTTACATCAATCAATCACACTGCATTTATTCAATCACACACCCATACATCATATACAAACTCGGCTCAGTGGTGAGCGCGCTGCGTCACGTACCGAAACCCGGATACGGATTGGCTCCACGCTCTCACACATTCAGCTCAACAACATCTGCCGCAGCCACGATGCATGGTGCCACTGTAAGAATGCTTGAGTTGATTTTCCGTTTTCATTTCATTTGCACTTTCTTGGAATGCCTAAGCTGTTCTTTGTATTTAGTTGTTAAACTTTTAACACACACACAACAATTACACCCATATATTATGTAGATCTGTTTCAATTGATTTTTGATTTGTTATTATTTGATTGGTTTTGGCATGCTTTCACCTTTATGATGTACATTAAAGTAATCAATTGCACATTTCCCTATTCCATGTAGGACTTTTCCTATGGAGGCCTGGGAGACAAAACTCACAGCACAGACCTGAGCTGCGGCAAATCAGAGGGTAAGTTTCGGCAACTGAGTCGTTTAGTGGTTGATTGACTGACTGCTGTTAACTTCTAACACAACCCAAATAGTAAGCGAGGGGAGACTAAACTGTTCAGAGAAGCTACATTATTGTTAATAACTAAAAACTAGTGCTGCTTTGAGCTCGACAGTGAATGATTAATAGACTGATCGCTGATAAGTTCCGCTTGTGAATTTTTTGATGCACGACTATATTGATAATGATTGACTGTTAATCAATCTATTGTGTACAGTGTTGGAGGTATCTATATCTAAAAAGTTATTCTTTGCAGCATCGGTGGACTCAATCACGGAGGGCGACAGGCGCGCTCTTATGGGCGGCGATTTGCCAGCTTCGAGCACCTACTCGGGCGCCTTGTCCTACCACTACCCGCAAGCGGGGCTCATACGACGCAGCCTCCCCAATATGGCGCACTCGATGCTCGTGCACGAGCCAGCTAAGATCTATCCGTATCACATATTGCTTATAACGAATTATCGTCTGCCATCGGACGTAGATCGCTGCAACCTGGAGGTAAGCCTTGCCAAATAAAAGTAATTGTTCATATACAAATTTCCATTTTTATTGCAGCGTCATTTGTCGGACATCGAATTCGAGCATATTTTGCAGTGCACACGATCGGAGTTCTATAGGTTGCCGCAGTGGAGGCGCAATGAACTGAAACGACGCGTGAAGCTCTTCTAAATAGCTGGCTGCATCCTCGAGAGCAGCTGCTTGTGACGAAACCAAAACAATTACCTAAATATTTTGAGTGGTTCTTAACTACATATTAAAAGAGGCCCCCAAACCGTAAACAACAGAAAAACTATGCTAATTTCACAGCCAGTTTTCGAAACACGCTTTAAACAAATAGTTGACAAATGAGGAAGATGAAAAAACGTATATAGAAGAGATAGAGATAGTTACATTTGAAGTATGGACTGCCCAGCTGGCAGCTCCAATTTATTTTTTTAAGCATTAGTTGCGCTGATAACTATTTAAATTCTATAAGAAACCAAACAAGAAACGTCGGCTCGCCGACCAGCAAGTACCACAGCAGAGTATAATCTAAGCATTTAACATTTAAGATTGCCATCAGAGTCCGATATTGTAAAAGGCTTTAACGCATCCTCCCTCCGTTCAGGCGGTACTAATGGCGATCTGCGGGTATGCAAATTTCAATTAGTTAATCGGCCAGTCAAAGCTTTTTTTATATAAACAAAATACAACGGCTAATGGAGAATCGCATAAAAGAATGAAATAAATGTACCTACTACTTACACAGAAAGGAAAAAAGTAAAACAAACAAATCGCACAGAAATTGATTCTGAATTAGATGCGATGTGCAAAGCAGCTAAACACACTTGCAACATTTATTTATTAATATATATTTTATTTATTTAAATAGAATATGTGAAAAATTAAAAAGCAGGACAAAACGAAAGCAACGTGTTTTCTTCTTATACATACAAAATAAATAAATTCGCGTGAGTGGAATGTTTATACAAATAAAAATAAACATAAATAATTGTGCTAAGTGTCACAGTTTTGTTTTCCCGAGAGATTTTATATTCTTTTTTATATTGATGTTATTCCTTATATATCCCACTAATTCTGCTTTTGCAGAGCACCGTCTGTCTTTAAATTATATGTTAACTGAGTCTTCATCACTGTCAGTGTGCTGCCAATGATTTGCTTGTGATATATTTGTCGTGTTACAAAACCAAGATCGTCGTAGAAGTCTCGTTCGCTTTCTTGCCATTCGGATATGGTGCATTCCAGCGAAGCGTAACCGCCGTTAATGCAGTTCTTCGAGACCAAATTTATCATGGGCTCCATGATTTTTTGATGCGGATAGTGTTTGGCAATCGCAAAACGGTATATCCAGGCGGCATTGTAGACAGCATGATGATTCTTAACGCTTACAGTGGCTACAATTCGCCGCCGAAACTTGTTTAAATAGTTTTCATCATATGGTGGCCTATCCATAAAAATCTGATAGCTAGCCTCGTTTGGTGCACAACGAAAGATGAATGGTTCGTAACACTCAGCTACCAGTGATTGTGAGGGCTTCACCTGAGCAATGTAAGCAATTAGAATTATTGGCACTACTGAGAAACTTAGTTACCCTCATTAGTTCCACTGCCTTGGCATAAAAGGAAAAGTAGGTGCTGGTGAAGAGAAAAAACACACAGCCGGGTATGGTTAGCACACAGAAGAGCAGCGGCACACCCAGGAATATGAAAAACACGGCCCAAGTGATGACTATAAATTGCAGTGTAATCTGAAATAATGATGACCCTATATAAGTGTCAAATGCATCATGTGGTATGAGGGAGAGGCACGCAACAGATGCAGCGACTATTGAGCATCGATAAGTCACGCATTAGTCGGCGGCTTACCTCACGAAAGCAGAGCGTAAAGAAAGACTTTAAGGAGAATGACATGATGTAATCTCGCACCAGCTCCTGGCACTTGAGCTCATCATCTTCCCGATAGTTCCGTATTACAATAAATGGTTGCATTTTTTATCACTTTAATTTTTTTCTTCTTGAATTTAAACGAAATCAAAATAAAAACACTACAAAGCAGTGCGACCGTAAACTAATTTCCATAAAATACTAGTAGGGCAAGTACCTCAACAAGTCTATAATTGGTATGCGATTTATCGAAGATTAATCGATATACTAGTATTTAATATCCTCGAAAATAGTAACAAAAAATTAAAAATTTCTTTATTCAGATTTTGTTTAACAAATAACATTCATTATCACCTATATATTTAATATAAATTTAAAAATACTGTCAGCTATTGTTAAAAAGCCGTGGCCAAAATTTTTTCTAGAAAAAAGAACATTCACATATCCTTGTATTTTTTTAAATTTATCTTAGCAAGAAGCCCTATCATTTATTTTAAACCTATTCCGTATGTACCTCAGCCGGGTATTAATTTCTTAGCATAACCATCTTTTGATACTTGCTTGAGTCTTTCAAGTAAAATATTTTGAAACTCCAAAATGGCTTCAAAATTATTGAGCGCTTAATACTAATCATACTTAAAATGAGTTCATAATGGTGCTACGTGTATATACGTTTACATACATATATAGAAAAATTTATATTTCTGAATCTAACGGTTAAAAACAAAAATAATTTTTCGATTGCTTACTTATCGACGGAAATTATTAATCGAAGCTTCTCTATTTGATAGAATATTTGCATATGCGAGATTCGGTCACACTGATTAATGGCCACCAATACGTTTGCCGCATTAGCGATTGTGATCTGAAATTAATAATCACTTAGCTCGCCATCTATCCTGATTCTGTGAAAATGGAAGACGGTCACATGAGAGAAAAATGTGAAACTTTAGGACATGCAACTGAAAATCTACAACGTCAATTCATTTGCGGTGTAATCGAAGGATTTTACGGCCGACCATGGACGACCGAACAACGAAAAGATTTGTTTCGCAAATTAAAAAAGCTGGGAATGGACTCGTATATGTACGCACCGAAAGATGATTATAAGCATCGTGCGTACTGGCGTGAGCTCTACACCGTCGAAGAGGCTGATCATCTATCAAGTATTTATTTGCGCTATTTCCAACAATTGCTTGCGGCTTGTTATTCAAAGACAAATGTATTATTTATTTTATATATTAGGTCTGATTACAGCTGCTAGGGAAGCGGGTATTGTGTTCTACTACGCTTTATCGCCGGGTTTGGATATGACGTACAGCAGCCAGAAAGAAATTGCGACGTTGAAGCGCAAGCTAGATCAGGTATCACAGTTTGGCTGTGATGGCTATGCTCTTCTCTTCGATGACATTGAATCAGAGCTGTCCAAAGCTGATAAAGAGGTATTCCAGACGTTCGCCAATGCTCAGGTCTCGGTGACCAATGAGATATTCACGCATTTAGGTAGCCCCAAATTCCTTTTCTGCCCGACTCAGTATTGTGCATCGCGTGCCGTGCCCACTGTTGTCGATTCGGAATACTTGAATACGCTCGGCTCTAAGCTTAACAATGAGATTGATATTCTCTGGACGGGCGACAAGGTGATATCAAAGGTTATTACGATTGAGTCGATACGGGAGATAACCGAGGTACTGCGGCGTCCGCCTGTCATTTGGGATAATCTGCATGCGAACGATTACGACCAAAAACGTGTCTTCCTAGGCCCATACACCGGTCGTTCGCCAGAGCTTATTCCTTATTTGCGAGGTATTATGACTAATCCCAATTGCGAGTTCTATGGAAATTTCATAGCAGTGCATACGTTGGCCTTCTGGTCGCGCTGCAGCATGGACTCAAAGATGAATAGCTCATTGAGCGCTGATATAAAGCTGGAGACTGAAAATGAAGACGATTTACCAGTGGAGTGTCTGTCAAAGAACGTATACCACCCGCGCTTGGCTCTTAAGTAATGCAACTTTTGTAACTACATAATGTTTAGTAGCTCATGATTATGTTTAACCCCATAGAAACGCCATCAATGATTGGTTGCCGGAGTTCTTTGTGGAGAAGGAAGCCTGGGGACCGATTGCTAAGCCTCAGCCGCAAGTTGAGATGGTTATGCCCATAATACCTATAATACCCTCTATCAATACCTGCATGACACTCACGACAACAACAACAACATCTACAAATTCCCGCACAGTGCCCGAGGTGAATACCACCCAGCTTCAGGCTCTAGCGGATGTGTGCAGCACAGTGAGCTCCACTCTGACTCCAATTTCCAATCCGGTGATGAACTCTTTAGTATCACCAACAAAAGTTGTAACCAATGATGAGATTATAAATCCCATACCTACAACCGTTGCATCCAATATTGAACTGCCTAAGAAGATACCCATATCGATTGTGCCAGCCCCCATAATGGAAACTAAGAGCGTTGAGGAGACTATCAAGTTGACCTGTGAGATTTTCGAGCCTCTAGTAGAAACCAATAAGGATGAAACAGTGGAAAAGCGGGAACAGGTTGTTAATTTGAGTGTGGACCCGATGCTGGACGAGCAAAGTTTGAGCCCAGGCATCAACGAACCGATGGAGTGCAGCAGCAGCGTCAACTCGCAAATTTCGCCAAAGGAGGCCAGTAAGTTGGTAACCGATGACGTAATCATGGAGGAATCTGCCAATGATATGAATGTAGGTGAACTGTAATACCAAACCAATATTTTACACCAAATTACATTGGTTTTTTTTGTAGAGCATGAACGTAGAAAGCCCTTCATCTTCACCACAATCTAGTGCCGAAATGCAGGAGCCGGGAGAATTCGAAGATTTATTAGTCAAGTAAGGTCTCTAGCTAATTTTAGCTACAACATTTTCACATATATTCATTCTTTTGTAGAACGACTGCGGATCGAAAAAAGATAACTTTAGATGATTTAAACTTTCTCTGTGATCTATTCTTTTTACCCTTTGAGCATGGCAGTCGTGGCCTGAAGCTGCTAACCGAATTCCAATGGCTTAAAGTCAATGCAAATGTGCTGCTCCAGGATCGTATCGTTGATCCAGATGCGACAAAGGCCGTCAAGCCAGAGGTTAGCGAATGGTTGCAACGTGCCGAACTCTTCGGAAAAATATGTGGCGGTGTCCAGGAACTGCTACTCAAAATTGCCTACTGTGAGAATAAGGAGATCTGCCATGACTTGTATTCGTATGTATGGGATATTTCTGGTGCGGTCTCGCTGCTCAATGGCTATGTCAAGTGGCTGGCCTTGGGTAAATTTCCACCGAACATGGCCACTTACACGGAAGGCAGCTACACATGTGAGTAAGATCATATTCTCTTTGCATATATAAACCATCTTTCTTGGGTTTCAGGGTTCAGTAAAGGCTGGAAGGAGGCCTTCATGTCTGGTGAGCAGGAGCCTTGGGTATTTCGCGGTGGCCTTACAGCGGACTTGCAGCGATTGATGCCCGTCGATTCCGGCAATGATTTGTTCGTATACAAGTTGCCCGAACAGCCAACGGCCAATTATTACCTCTTAAGACCATATCAGAGCTCGGATGAATCGGACGTTAATAGGATCTGTACACGTACTTATTTGCAATGGCAAAGCGAGCCGGATGGAGACGAGATATTGATGCCCGCGCAGTTGGTCGACATTGTGGCAGATGTATTGGTGGGCGCACATTTAGTTCTACATCCGGAATTGTGCTTGGTAGCCTACGATAAGAGTGACTCGATTGTTGGCTATGCGTGTGCTGCCCTGGATGTTAATGTCTTTATGCGGAACACGGAAATTTGTTGGTTTACAGAGCTGCGTGAAAAGTATCCCAAAGATTTGCTAGATGTTATAGGTAATGGCAGCAGTAGCAAGTCTCAAAAGGTTATTGCGCGCTTTGTTGAAAGCGTGCACAGCAAGGTGGATGAGGCTTGTCCACCTGAAGTGTGTGCCTCATTTCCAGCTGTAATATGCACAGCCACCTTGCGGGAGGCGGAGCAGCATGATAATGGAATTACTAAGCGTATGCTGACCGTATTGCTAGCCGCGCTCCGTGCCAACGGCTGCTTTGGCGTACACGCCCGAGTGCCGGAGCACGATAGAGAGCAGTTAAATTTCTACACAAAAATTGGATTCATTGAGATCTACCGCGATGATGGCAAGAAGAACATATATTTGGGGCGACGTTTCTAGCAGGCAAGACTGAGCTCTTGGCTACTTGAACACTACCTTCATCATTGATATTGCTTCTTCTACATCTGGTCCATGTGGTTTCCTAAGTACATGTTTAAGATTTTATTTAATTGACTTTGTATGTGCATTAATCGTTCTTAATCTATTTACCTTTTTGTACTCTCGTGAAACCTCTTCTTACACAATCCTAGTATTTAACCAATTGGAGATCGATTCATGCGTATGCCGACTGCTCCATTCTCTAGCATTTAATTTAAGTATACGCAATAAAAATTGACAAAATAAACAAATAAAATCAACTTAGTTTATTCTGCTTGTTAAGGTCGTAGAACCAAACCGTGTTGACCCCCTCCTCGATGACACGAGTCGGCTGCAGCTGTGGAAGTGGAAAACGACACGCTATAATCTTCGCATTGTGTGGACATTCTGAAATCAATTTGTGTTCTAGATCCTGCATCATTTGCTCCACTCCAAAGATTATCACATAGTTGTAATCTTTGATGTTGAACTTCCACAGATCGCGGCGAAAGAAGCTAGTTTGCTGGCCAACACCATGACGAATTGCAGCCAACCGGGAATAGTAGATCAACCATGGATTTAACTCCACGCCATCTGCTTTCAATCCTTGGGCATGTTGAGCCGCAGCTGGAGGAGATTACATAACTGTTTACATCGGTGCGTAAATCACTATTCAAATTTAGCTCACCCACAACGATGCGTCCATCTCCTGAGCCAATATCCAGCAGCTTGCCATTGGCATTCCTAGGTAGGAAACGTAAAACATTTTGTATTTGTTCCGTTGTCGCTGGCACAAAGGGCAAACAGAACTTGCGAAAAGCGGGCGCCACAAATGAGGCACACACAATGGACAGTCCAATTCCTATACCACCAGTAAGGCCTATCAGGAGTTTACCCCCCGTTGAAATACTCTGTTTTTTAACTGATTTGTGCACGTTTTCATTTAGAATTTCCATTGTAAATCAATTTTAAATAGGCGGATCTTGCAAAGCTGGCAACAACAAAAAACAGCTGATTACAAGCGCTCAGGGTTGACATACAAATCAAAATAAATTAAACCAATTTGAAATTTTAATTGCGAAGTAAATATTCTCAGCTGTTAACATTACACCAATTTATAAATATAATTGTGAAACAAAATTGCGTTCATCAACAAATTATCACTAACATTTTATCGACATTGCCAGGGCTGACAGGCTTCTCGTATAGATCAGAGTTGTGTCGACAATTTACGCGCTACGCATCATGAGTACACACTTATCTATATCTTGTGGCAACACTTTTTTCAGTCGTAGCTTCCTATTACAATTTTCCACGGGCATTTCGTGTGTGTGTGTTATTTTCGTCAAAACTAAAATATAAAACGAATATTCATTGAAAATTGCGCTGCAATAAGGTGATCGACCGTCGGACGTGCTAAATTTTATGTGCGCCGTGTGTGTTTACGCGTAAACGTAAAAATGGCGAACGTAAGGGACAGCGACACATCACTGTGGCTGCATAATAAACTGGGCACATCAAATGATTCTTGGATAAATGGTTCAATATGCTCGCAATTAAACAAAGAAGTTTTGCGCAACATCAAAGAATGTTTTCCCGACTTGCAGACGCAGGTTAAATTAAAATTGCTGCTCAGTTTTCTGCACATACCGCGTCGACTGGTTGAAGAGGTAAATCTCGTTGGTGTCATACAAAGTGGAAAAAAGTACACCAGCATGGACACGCATACATACTCACGCACACAGACAAAGACGCGCGCGCACTTACACATGCTGTGTTGATGAAGAGTTTGTAGTACTGAGAACCCTTAAGTGCAAATAAATCTGATAATTAACGTAAAATAAAAATGTGAAACGTATCGTTTAACTTGAGTATCTAATTTATTTGCTTAATTGCATGCGTACAAGTGTTAGGTGTTTATATGCTGCCTATCAGCGAAATGAAATATTTCCCGCCACTTCTGCGCGATCGATGTATTTATACATGTGTGTGTGCGTGGGTTTGTGATTTTATGTTCAGTAATGGTATTTGTGTATGCGTGTGATTGTATTTATGGGCGCCAAGGGTGGTGAACACAAATCTGTTGAATATGTGTCGTCATTTACTGTTATTTGATATTTATATTTCAAGACGGAAATTTATTATTCCAAAAGCCTACAAAATTTGGGATAGTTTAATTGTATATATAAATCGTATGGATTTAGTGAGGAATTTATTATTTCGTTTGAAAGATTTTAAGTATATGTATGTTGTTGCTGAACTATAGATAAAAATATATTAATCATTTAACGCTTAGAACATTTTATAAACGAATTATGGAATTGAATTGAAACTAAAATTACAAAATTCAATAAGAATGCTGTTATCAAGATATTGGTCGTCAAGTTGTTGTTAAAAAACAATGAAAGATGCATCTAGTTCATTGCTGTGAGAGAAATTAAGTGTGTAATTAACTTGTCCAAATTAAATTTACAGTGGAAGAGCGAATTAGAGGAGGTCATAGAAGTCGCCGGCCTAGACTCCGAGTTATGGGTATCCATGCTGGCAGAGACAATGAAAACATTTCCGGCGACTAGTTCGCTAAATACAGAAATCTCCGATTATGAGGATACGCGACCTATATTCACCGACATGGTCAACGATCTTCGCAAATTGGTTACCAAGCATTCGGATCTGGGGATGTTGCCGCTTGAATGTCAATACCTAAACAAGAACGCACTGGTCTCGGTGGTAAGTAGGCAGATCACTTGATTTTTTGCTTATGTATGCAGAGTATCCATAATATATTGTTTATTATTTCAACAGGTTGGCCAACAGCCGGTGCCCGTTAAGCATTTCACGCTGAAGCGCAAACCAAAAAGTGCTCAGTTGCGCACAGAGCTGTTGCACAAGTCGGCCGACGCGCAATCCTCGCTAAAGAAGTCGTCGGCACCTACGATTCCATTGCGCTCGCGTGGTATGCCACGGAAAATGACGGACACAACGCCGCTGAAAGGCATACCATCGCGTATGCCCACCACAGGCTTTCGTTCGCCCAGTGTGCCGGGTAATGCGCAACGGCCCAATCTGAGTCGCACACCTGCTGGACGCAAGGATGGAGGCATTAAAATACTCGAATTCACTGAACAGCCACTGGGCTATGCTGCCGCCAAGAAGCGCAAGCGCGAACAGCAGTTGGAGGAGCAACAGAAAAAGCAGGAACAGAAACAACAGGCTGCCGCAGCGGCTGCTGCTCAAGCAGCAGCAAACACAAACAACAACAGCGATAGTCCACCTGCAGAGTCTGCAGCTAATAACGTTATCGGAGGAGAGACACCAACTACGCCAACCACATCAGCAAATAACAGCTTTGAAATCAAATTGGAGCCACAGCTGAACCAAAGCAGTGGCAGCATAGATGAGCAGCAGGATGAGCAGGAGTTCAAAGCTCCAGAGCTAGCTACAAAGACGATGCAACCAGATACGCCGAGCACACCAGAATATGCAGCAGCTACTCTACAATTCGCTCAAACTAATACAGCGGCGGCGCCGACTACGCCCAATCGCAAGACAGAGAGTAAAGCAAGAGCTAACAAGTCGGCGGCTAAGGCGAATAATAACAATAACAACAACAACAATAATAATAACAGCTACCATCAGACGCCGAAACGCATCAAGCAGGAGATTGAGATCAAGAGCGAGGAGATCATTGTGCCGGCCAGCATTAAGCTGGAGAAAATAGAGCCTACTATCGCGACTACTCCAACAACGGCTAAGACGCAGCTGACAGCGGCGACCACGCAGCGAATCATAATACAGCAGCAGCAGCCAGTGCAGCGTGCTCCGCATTTACTCATACGCAGCACGCCGCAGCAACAGAAACGCCTCAATAACAGCAACACTTTAGCGACAACAACAGCAGCTACAACGGCAACAACAACCGTCGGCAACACAACTATCAAAATGGAAAAGTTGGATATAAAGCCCTTGTCGCGAGCATCAGCTACTCCCAGCGGAAGCAGCAGCAGTGCCAGCAGCAACACCACCACAACCACCACCATATTAACGCCGCAACAATTGCGGCAAGCGACCAGTCCGCTGGCCAATCTGCCGAACAACATTTCGGTAAAGATAACATCGGCAAAGGCCAAGGTTGCAGCAGGAAGCGGTGCAGGCAGCAGTGGAAGTCAGGCAGCATCAGGAGCTGCCGCAGCACAGCAGCAGCAGCAGCCCATCCTGATTAACAGCTCCACGCCCGTCATATTGGCTTCTACGCCCAGTGCTCAACGAGCGGTAGGTGGCTTTTATATATAAATAATAGATTTTACCTAATTATATATTTTATTTACATTTTAGAAACCGCAGTTGGCAGCCAGCACCAGTGGCATTGGCAGCACTACCACCACAATACCATCGCAAGCTATTAAGACCATGCCGCTGAGTCAGCTAAAGACGGCAGCAAATAGTGGGCCGGTTATTATCTCGCAAACCATAATTCAGCCGGCTAAGCGTGCTCAGCAGCTACAGCAGCAACAACAACAACAACAGCAACAAGGTGCCACATCCAGCGTAGCGGCAGCTGCTTCTCAGCAGCATCAACAACAATTGCAGCAGCAACAAGTGGTCGTTAATACGTCACAGCCACAAACCACGCAGTACATTCTAGCTGCACCACAGCCGCAACAGCAGCAACAGCCTGCATTACCGACGCTTACTTCCTTCACACAGACGCGTCCGCAGACAACGACACTGTACCAAACAGCAGCGGGCGGCAGTGGTCAGACGCCAACGAAAATACTGCTGAAGACCACGGGCACCACGGGAGTGGTCATGACACCGCTGCGACAGCATCAACAAGCTACAACGTTAGTATCTACTAATCCGCCACCGTTGGTGGCTACGACGGCAGCCGTGGCTGCTGGCCAGCAAACGCTTAATATACAAAATGTACAGCTACCGAATCGTCCCGTCACCATACAGCCCGCTTCGCAGGCGGCGCAACAGCAGCATTTGCAGGCGCAGTTGCAGCAACAGCAGCCACTGCCGCACCCGCAGCACACGATTGTGTCCAACACGACTGCCACACAACAGCCAAAGCTATCCCAGGTGCTAATGCAACCTGGTGGTGCCATAGCGGGTGGCACACTAAATGTCTCACCGACGGCGGCTAAAAGCAAGACGATCATACTCACCCAAAAGGGCGTCATATTGCGCAACATTGGCGGCGACATGTACCAGATACCTATTAGCAATGTAGGCGGCTTATCCGGACTCAGTGCTGGGGCCACCCTTATGACAAGCACGGCGGCCGGTCCGCCCAGCCTGGTGAAGACGACGACGTCAACGAGCATACAGCCACATACGTTACAGCAATCACAGCAGCAGAGCGTGCAGCCTGGCAAGCAGTTGATGCCTACCTTAATACCAACCAACCCCATTGGAGGCCAGCACGTCATCGTCCAGCAACAGACGCCCACGAGTGTAATTGGCAATGTAAGTGGAACTGTTTCGACTGTTTTGACGGGGGTGTTTGTTAAGGAAGGAAGACAGATAGAGAACGGCTTTGATTTGATCAAAGAGTTAATATGTTGCCATATATTCTGTGCAATTTTTTAATCTTGGCTTGGTTTTTTCTTTTCATTTGTGTACAATACTCGTTCGTCTGTCCATCTGCTTCGATGTAAGCTAATCCAATAGTGAAGTTAGTTTTACAATCGTGCAATGATTATGGATTATATATATATAACTGGATATATATAACTTTACCTAATTTTATTAATTTTAAATGGCGTTTTAGTCCTCACAGCAGACGATAATTCGGCCTGTCATGACCAATGTAGGCGGCGGGTTGACCACGCTGCCGCAGGGCCTGACATTGATTCAGCGTCCTGGGCAACAGCCGCAGCTGGTGCAGGTGCAGGCAGCGCCGAGCAGCACGCAGCGTACGATTATAACGCAATCGCCGGCTGCATCGGCGCCGCAACAGCAGCCGCGCCAGCAGCAGCAGCAACARGCACAACAGCAGCAACAGATATTGGTGCAGCATAAGCCAGCCCTGCAGCAGTGTTTGGTCACCTCGACGAGCACACCAGGGAACAATGCGACCATACCGCGCACCGTGCAGGTGCAGGTTACTCAGCAGCAGCCACAGCAGCAGCAGACGACAGCGCCGGCGGCACAACAGGCGCCACAGCGACGTGGCCTCTCGTTATCAGTAAGTCCTAATACCTACTTGCTAAACAAGCAACATAAATCTCATTATTTATTTATTTTTTGTTCAGAATGAGCACGTTCACAAGGCTCATGAAATGTTCCGCAAAGCGAATCGCGTTTCTCGTCCTGATAAGGCGCTCATCTTGGGCTTTATGGCTGGGTTGCGCGAGAATCCGCGACCCAATTCCGAGAATGTATTGGTCATAAAGTTGGGAGAAACTGAAGTATGTTTTATTTTTTTGTTTATCAATTTGAACATATGCTAAATACTAAATCTAATTGTTTAGGAAAAAGTGCAACAGGAAGATGGCAATACGGCGTTGTGTCAGGTGGAATCACATATTCGCTTGGACTACAATACGGGCGAGTGGAAGACATTCCAGAACTACAGGCTGGTGGATCAGACTGGTGCCTCATAGTCCACAAGGGTTATACGCATAGTACGCAAGTAGCCTATGCGTATGCCCTAGACTTCACTTGTTTGCTACTGGGCTTGTTCTGTGCGTCCATGTCGTTCTGCATGGCCAACAGCTAGGCTTATCCGCTAATTAGGCTACTAACCAGTTCTCCCATCCCCTTTATATTATTAAAATCCGCTTTCCACGATGGAAATAAATGAACTATAAAACAATTAACGTAAATTAGTAGTTGTACAGTTCTTAGTATATATGTATGTAGTATATATGCTAGCGCTTTAAACGTTTAGTAATGATGCCACAAACACACACCCATACACACGGCAACACATAAACATTACATACACCCAAGTATATACTTTATTATGATTAGCACGCTTGACTAGCGATAGAGAGATGAATTGAATGGGAAATGCAAATAATCATACATTAACACACACCCACATATATATTCACGTATGTGGTCATTTATATGCAAATATATACAAGATATATATGTATTTACACAAATTATATATATGTTATATAAATATAAATATGCATAATTAGCATTATGTAATTAGTTCTCGAGTAAAGACAACTGTATAATTAATTTAGCAAGAAGCATAATAATACTTATTTGGAGCCACGCGATGAAATGCAACGGTCACCTTAACATTACAAAATTATAAACAAAATCTAAAATATGAATATTATAAGTGTATGTAAAATTAAATTAAAAAAAAAAATAAAAAAAAAAAAAATGAAAATTATAGCGAAGCAACCGCAGCAAAAATTTAATATTAATCTTGAGAAATGTGTAATAGTCTAAAATAAACCAACCATATTTATGGCTTTAATGTTTAAACCAATACTTGTTTAAATGAAAGGTGGCAGGAATAGCTTAATATTGCAGCCTCCTTTTAACTCAATACTTTGCAACTCAACTGTTATTGTAAATGTGACTTCGGTTCGGATACAGCATTAATTTAAAGATCTCGATTCTGGGTCCTCTGGGAATTCAATTTTACCTTTTTGTCACTCAAGCAAGCTTCATAAATATTTAGGACGATTCTCTAATATCTCCAACTTACCAGCTCTTACTATTACTTGGTCGCCTAATCATCAATAATAAAAGAAACGTGAATTTGAATACTTCGTTGTTTTCGTTTAATTGCATTGAAAGCTTACAATTAGTCAACATAAATTGATCAATTTTGATTGGACAATGCCTTTGGCTAATACTAGAAGGTAAATCTATATGCAATATATTAGAGACTATATTATATATATGTATATATACATATATATAAATATACTACATGCTACGAGTTACATATAACATACATAGGTGCGCCTTAAATTCGATTGTACTAATGGAACCTATGGATACATTCTACTTGCTGGCCACCTCCTTCCAGTGGACGATGGCGCGCTGTTCGTCTGGTGCATCCCGAAAAGGCCGACTGCCATTAGAGCTGACATACTCGTTGACCTGATAATTGAGCAACGTCTTGTAATGGTAGACATCGGCCAGCTGTTGCGTCAGAGGGCTAGTATTGGTGGTGAAGATGCCGGCGAATTTTTTATTGCGTGCCACGTTTAGCACCTCGTACTCCATGAAGTGCATGCAAGCAATATTCTCGCGAGGATTAAGATGTTCGGCGGTGCCCATCATGAATGAGTGTAATATCTGATTCAAGCCCTTGGGCAAATAATTGTCTCTAAAAACATAAATCAAGATGTTGGCTTTGAGGTAAATGTAGTGGAAGCCAACCAAGTGACGTACCGTATGGGTCCTTCACAGAACTCTAGAAACTCAAAAATAATGATCAGCTCGGACTTTATGTCCACCTCAGGCTCGGCGCGCGCGTCAAAGTTAAGAGCGGTGCCGATGATGCGTTCAGTATTTCGATCGTATACCACAAAGCTGAGTTCCCTCTCCACTAGAACGGTCCAAATTTCCTGCAACAAAATTAATGGATAAATTACTAAAGCTATTGCTATTGTGAATTGCTCTCCACTTACATTAAGCAAATCACTGTAATCTGTGCGCAAAACACCAGGCTTCAGCCACTGTTCCAAATCTGCCTTGTTGTAAAAACTGGATACGATTATGCTGCAGAGGCAAGGATTAGAAATTATGGCATATTAAATGAACTCAATTGAACTACTCACTCAATCACAGCCTGACGATGCTCTAGTTTGAGAGGTACCGCTTCCATTTTAAGGTGCGGGCATGCATTGAGCGTCTCCTCTTCCAGTTGTACTGAATCATGGTTGCTAGCCATCTTTTCGATAATCTCTCCCAGATTTTTCGCCGCTATGAACTCGGAGATACCAATGTTGTAGCCTTTCTCCCTCAGTAGGGTGACGGTAAAGATGGAGTTGAGTGAATTGCCACCCAGCTCGTAGAAGTTGCTACGAGGCGAAAGACTTGCTCGTGTAGAGCGTCCAATGACACCGCCCACCGTCTCGAATAGGTCACGTGCCGTCAATTTCAGCTCCTCGGGCACCTGGCTGTAGTCAAAGTCGAGTACGATGCTCGAATCGCCTTCGTTATTGTTGGCCGTCTCATAGGTTTTGAGCAGGGCCTGGCGATCCACCTTGCCATTGACCAAGAGCGGCACATGCTCCAATATGATCACCTGTGGTGTCATATAATCAGCCAACTTATCCTTGAGCCTGCCTTCCAGTTGCATCTCAGTGACCACAGGTGAATCATCGCGCAGCTTGACAAAGGCGAGGATGGCCTGATCCACATGTCCGGCCCGATAGCAAAGTACTATGGCCTTCTCTACCAGTGGCAGCTCGGCCACGATCTTCTCCACCTCAGACAAATCGACCCGATGCCCGCGTATCTTCACTTGCGAGTCAGTGCGTCCTTCATACATGATATTCCCATTCTTCAGCGAGCCATAATCACCGGTACGATACAGACGCGCATATTCTGTAAAGCTGATTGATTAGAAATTCATTCAGCAGGATGTTTCAAATGTCCCACTTACTCTTCTCCACAGCTAACGGATTCTCGAGGAAGCGTTCCGGATCACGACCATTCACATAACCCGCAGCCAGATTCAAACCTGAAGCAAAGATTTCGCCTATTTCTCCATTTTTGACCGGACGATAGTCCGCATCCAGCAGATAGATAACAGTGTTTGATACGGGTACGCCTGGGGAAATATAGATACATAAGCACAGAAAAAGTAAGAGGACAGAAAGAGAGTGGAGAGCTCACCTATGGGCACATTGTCGTACATGCTAAGCTGCTTCTTGCTCTCGCAGGCGAAGTAGGTCACATCGCCCATCACCTCGGTGGAGCCGTAGAAGTTGTACAGTCTGTGCACTCCCTCATCAAAGTAGTCGAAGAAGCTGCTGGCTA